ATGACTCTTCGCAACAAAATTCGGCAGCTTCGCCTCAACAACAAGCTGCGGCAACACTGCATTCATCGGCCTTGCCGAATTCAGAGTTCTTTCTTAATATCTCCGAATTACAAGTTACAATGAAGGGTTTGTTTTCTATTATTTTTTGTTAAAAAAATATATAGAATAACACTTTTTTGAATGAATGAAAAATAGAATGGCCACCTCCATTCGAATGGCCCTCCGATTTCCGAGTTCCGACGTTTGAGCCAGTTCCGATTTCCGGCTCTTCCGATTTCCGACACCTCTGACTTCCGACTCACCTCAGATTTTGTTACCCCAACTTAATACAAATGTTTTAGATGCTGCTTTTTTCTGCAAACAATTTTATATAGGTAATCGACCATGCTGATCACGAATCCGAGCTTAGAATTTGTTTATTTCGAACCCCGGACCCGAATTCGACCAAGTCGAATTCGGGGTAAAAAATTCAAAATTACGATATTACAGTTATCCTGACTCGTCTCATTATTCTGAGTCGAATGGTAGCAAAATTATTAGGTTTCGACCATTTTAAACGAAGTTATGGTGTCTGATTTATATACGGAAGTCTAACCAAGCGTTATTTAACTGATCATAACTTCATCCAAAGTTGTCGAAACTGAATAATTTTGATACCATTCGACTCAGCTCAAATAGGCGTGTCAGATTAGCCCTAAATTTTTAATTTCGAATTCTTACCCCGAATTCGACTTGGTCGAATTCGGGTCCAGGTTCGAAATAAACAAATTCTAAGCTCGGTTTCTTGATCAGCATGGTCGATTACCTATATAAAATTGTTTGCAGAAAAAATGAAAATTTTTAAGGTGTTTTTAAGGTGTCTCCCCAATTCTGCACCATTACCAAAATCAGATTGAAATCTTGATTCCGAGGTGAGATAAAGAAGCTCAAAATGTCAACGTAAACCTATGGGGGTCGGCGAGGCGCTTGTGCAAATTTGCGCTTCGCGCGGAGTTTTGCGGCACGCGCCTCGCGGGGAGTCTACGGTCGCTGGGTTCTGGGCTCGTAACTTAATCCTATTCCTATCATCGAGCCTCCGGTATACTACAGCCGTTAATTCATTAAACGCTTTAATTGTTTCTATTTTTCTTTTTCAGGTCATACGCCTTTTGTTTTAAGGGAAAGATGCTCTACGTTATTACACCGATTAAGAAAAAATTGAATAATGAGTGTATTAAGCATAAAGGGTTTATCACGATCCTTCCTTCAACACTTGCGGATTCGCCGATTTTTGCAACAGCGGAATTGTCGACTTATAATACCGAAGATTTATGTTTTATCGATGATTTAATTGGTAGATATTCTGAAATATAATTTCAGTTTTTATTGTATTTTAACAATTTAAGGGATGATTTTTGTGTTTTATCGGCGTCATATGAATTGCTTTTTTGCTTATTGCTCAACGGCTATAACTTTGATTCTTTTATCATCGGCATTGCCAAATTCACGTAATTTGCCGATATTGCGATTTCTTAGTATGGCGGAGACAAAATTGGTTTTCGACTCAAAAGAAAGGGTAATTTTAGAATTAGGGGTAATAGTTTGGTTCGTATACCCTACTTTTTTTTCTTTAAGTATTAAAAAATGGTCAGTCAGTCATAGTTTGTAGAACTCGTTGAGCTGTGTCGAATGACATCAAAATCAACCCGCTGTCTTAACTTCGGCTCGAGATATAGACTCTCAAAAAGTGAACAACTACTATGGGTGGCCAAGCTAATTTTTGGGCTAATAATTCGTTTAATCAAATAATAGCTCATTCGAAAGCTTATCGAGCTGAGTCGAATGACATCAAAATTTCGATTGGGACGTAACTATAGGCCGAGACACAGGGCTCGAAATTGTCAAAAAACATAGGGGGGAGTATGTAAAAATTCGAATAGCAGATAATAGCTCATTCGAAAGAGCTCGTCGAGCTTATTCAAATACCTAAATCAACGAAATCTGACCTGATTTGACAAAGGTATGATCGTATGTTTTAGCTCGAGGTTTACGTTGACCATTTTAACCTGTTTATCTAGGCTTATAATCAAGATCTCGAGCTGATTTTCGTGTTGTCATTCGACTCAGCTCGATTCCTTGTAGAAATATATTCTTATAATATCTGCAAATTATTTTAGCAGCAATTTTTACAAGGGAGATAACTTACCATTCCGTACAATTGTGTCCGCAAAAAAAGTCCGCAATAAGTTTGTAGGGATAACACGCAAGTACCATTCTTTGTTGTATTAGATGTTCTTTTCTTTATTTTCTCTTATTTTTTCTTTATCTCATAGTTTTCTATTAACTTTAGGTTCACAATCCGTATCAGGAGTTAATTTTTGACTATGCACAGTTAATAAAAATCACTGATACTGGCAAAACGAAAAAAGAAAGAGGATTTCCTAAAGAAATTGATGGCAAAATTGTTAATATTAAATACGAAGAAAATATATTTGATCCAACTCTTTCATCTGCTGTAAAAAATCGAAAGAAGGATATAATTTGGACTGAATCTAAATTTGAATTAATAGATGTGGTCGATTCCGATAAATTTTTTCCTCTGGATCTTCCACGTATTTTTACTAAAAATAATTTAAATTTTTTAAATATTTTCTAGTATCTTTGTTCAAAGAACATGAACTTTCTTCACCAATTGGATTTGGTCTAATCGGCGGCAATCATCGACAAAAACGCGAGAGAATTGAGGAACGGGGTGGTAAAAAAGAAGTGGCTAAACAACGTCTCCGTCGAGAAAAAGAGCGTCGAATTCAAAAAGAGGAGGAACGACAACGACTTGTTGCTGAAGCTCAACTCGTTGAAATAGGAAAACGTAGTAAGAAAATAAATGAGGAACATCAACGACTTGCTGCTAAAGGTCAATTCGTTGAAATAGAAAGTCGGGGTAAAAACAAATTTTATAACTCTGCTCCAGTTTATGAGTCCCATCGAACTTTATGAGTCCAAACCAAACAACTTCTTGAGTCCTACGAATTTTATGAGACAAATCACACTTCTGAGGGTATGTCAGCACTTAAAGGAGAAAATCGTTAAAGGAATAGGTTTATGTTACTGGTGCAGAATCTAGCGACTGTTGTTTTCGAGAGATGCGTGCAGCAAAACCCGCGTGAAGTGCGGGGTTACTTTGTATATTTTGTATCATAACTTTTCCAAATATGTTCAATCAAGCTGATTTGGGGAAGCAGCAGCAAAAACCTGCAAGCGTCTCTAGTGATATATAAGGAGCATTAGACGAATCGGTCCAGAAACAAAAAGCATCTATAAGTCACAATAGACATATAATTAAACATCTATTGAAAATATATGTGAAAAAATGACATATACATCAGGGATGTGCGAGTTTCGCCTTTCGTCTTTCGCTTTTTAAAATCACTTTCGGCACACCCCTGATATACATTGATTGGACTGATAAACTTTTCATTAGACTCATAGATTATTTCTAATGAGCTAGAAATAACTTCTAAAACCTATAACTTATTTTTTACAGAACAAAACCAAATTTTATTGTTACCTATGCCACCTTCTCCTATGGGACAGCATACATTGGAGACGATGACTCCGAACTCACCAGATGCACCTGGAACTTCGATTTCGTCGGATCCGATTACAACGGTTTCGTCGGTACAAGGTTATAAAGTTAATTTTTTGAAGAGTATTACTTTAATAAATGAAGTTAGAAGTGATGTTCGGGAGTGAAAAAAGCCAAGAGTAGAAACCGACAGATTATCACTCGATATCCCTTCTAATCCACAGAAATCCCTATATATCCTTCATATCCAATTTCATCAATTTTATGCGCCCTGAAGCGAAAATTTTGAGAATATAGAAAGGAGATTTAGGCGCCAAAGGCGAAAATTTTTTGGCACTTGGATATCACCGGTTTTGTCAGTTTCGCTAAAATGACAAAATTTGTGTATATTATTCTTAATTTTCTAAATCGCGAAACTGTTTTCTAATCAAATAACTTGAAAAATATTTTTTTCAGATGAAAATAAAATTCCTGAAACCGAAAAAAATTATATGAACCGACAAACTTCTTTGTTTTCGTCAAAAACATCTGGTCTATTACAAGGTATTTTGAGATTATTTCTAAGGAATTTTTAAAAAATTTCTAAAATTTTAATTTTTATCAGAACATACTCAACTTTCTGCACCGTTTTCACCTTCGTCGCCGCCTCAGACTCAGATGCGAACTATTTCGGCAGCTACGCCGTCTCCATTACATCTAGAACATGGTACTATTTAGAGATCGAACTTGAGTGATCGATCAATAATACGGTATCAGTCTCGAAAAATATCGAGTATCGAAAAATTTATCGATCGATAATATCGATATCGTTTATCGATAATATCGACATCGATATATCGAAATTTTTTCGATATATCGTATAGGTCCGGTCCAGTGCTTCGAAATTTCAAATTTGCTCGTACTCGTACTTCGTACCACCTACTTTTTTGGCCTCGTACTCGTACCTCGTACCACCCCCATTTTTTTGCTAGTACTCGTACTCGTACCTCGTACCACCCCTATTTTTGCCCTCGTACCTCGTACTCGTACCTCGTACTTACTCGTACTTGAGAAAAAAAAAATCGAAAATTTTTATGATTTTTTTGAGTCCAGAACATTTAGTTTTAAATTTTAAGCGTTGTATGTGATAATTTTTGAATCTTGGAAGGCTTTGAAGCTATAAATCCTCCAATTTCAAACATTTTCTGCGCCGCAGGCGAAATTTTTGAGTTTTTTGGAGTGCAAGGATCGATAAAATTTTTGAAAATCATAAAAAATTAGTGAAAAATAACGTTGAAAATCGAAAAATAGGTAAACACCGTATTTCCTCTAATTGAGCGACATGCCGCTCTATTTTTCAAACCCCTGTTAAAGTGCCGACGTGTACCGTTTACGTATATCGGGAGACTGACCATTTTGAAATGAAAAAGAATGAAAGGAAAATGAGGGGAGATAACGGAAATGTACCCTTTTTATTATTGTTTAGCTGAACTATGTTTGCACTTTGTCCATGAACCCCACAGAATCTTGACCTGCACTCCTCAACAACCCCCGATCCTGAACACTCCCTTCCCGAATGTTTGGGAAGTACACACATCTATCTTGCTAAAATTATTTTCGCAATCATATTTTCAAACAAATTTTTTCGATCTATTTTTTGACAAAACCATGCGCGATGGCACAGCCCTATTTTTTCTTATGTTCCTCCTCATTTTTTCAATTAATGAAAAAGAATGAAAGGAAAATGAAGGGAGACAGAATCTTGACCAGTGCTTCGAAATTTCAAATTTGCTCGTACTCGTACTTCGTACCACCCCTTTTTTTGGCCTCGTACTCGTACCTCGTACCACCCCCATTTTTTTGCTAGTACTCGTACTCGTACCTCGTACCACCCCTATTTTTGGCCTCGTACCTCGTACTCGTACCTCGTACTTACTCGTACTTAAGCTAAAAGCAAAAAATCGAAAATTTTAATGATTTTTTTGAGCCCAGGGCATCTAGTTTTAAATTTTAAGCGTTGTATGTGATAATTTTTGAATCTTGAAAGGCCTTGAAGTTATAAATCCTTCAATTTCATCTATTTGCTGCGCCGCAGGCGAAATTTTTTAGCATTTTAGAGTGCAAGGAAAAATATTTACTACCCGAGATCCTACATTTTTTCATCCGGTTTTTTTTTCATCCTTTTCCACTGAACTTTTCACATTTTAATCTCCTTATATCCCTCTTAATCTCAAATCCTTTTTTTCAAAAATTTTGAGAATTTTGGATTTCCTTTGGATGTCCTTAAGAAAATTTTGGAAAATTTTGAAGGCCATGAAGCCAGATTTCTTTCATTTTTCACCACCGAAGGCGAAAATTTTAGAATTTGGAAGCCAATAACCACCTTTCTTATTTTTTCAGCGCCGCAGGCGAAAATTTTGAAAATTTCCGAAGGCCGTAGTGAAAAAATTCACTTTTAGTGTTCAAAGAAAAATTTTTTTAAGAATTTTAAATGGTCAAATCTCATAATTAATCCAAGTAAAAATACAATAATTAAAAAAAAAATTAAAATTATAAATAAGTTATTTAGGAAGAGAAAAAGATTAAAAATCCTTGTCCAGTGAATAGGAAACGAACCCAATATTAAATCATTATAGACTTTGGTGCAGCCAAACACCTTCACCACTCGGCTACTCGCTCATATAAGAACTATTGAATAAAATTAAACATATTTTTTCAATTTTCCTATTAACACCAAGTACGAGAAGTACGAGCTCGTACTTAGGCCTCGTACTCGTACTTTTCACTTTTTTTTTGGCCACGTACTCGTACTCGTACTTCGTACCTGCCCAATTTTTTTGCTCGTACTCGTACTTCGTACCAGGTACGAGTACGAGGTACGAGTACGAATTTTGGTACGAGCTTCGAAGCACTGGTCCTGACCACACAGAAATATTTTTTTTTAATATTTTTTAAAATTAATTAAAAAATAATTTATTCAAACATAAATATGTATTATTTTTTTGCTGATCATTAATTATAAATAAATGGTCTAGCGAACAAATAATTAAACAATTTTTTTTTATTTTTTAATAAACCACGCAAATACAAGTCCTGACCACACAGAAATATTTTTTTAAAATATTTTTTGTTCAGGATCGGGGGTTGTTGAGGAGTGCAGGTCAAGATCAGTGCTTCGAAGCTCGTACCAAAATTCGTACTCGTACCTCGTACTCGTACCTGGTACGAAGTACGAGTACGAGTACGAGCAAAAAAATTGGGCAGGTACGAAGTACGAGTACGAGGCCAAAAAAAGTGAAAAGTACGAAGTACGAGGCCTAAGTACGAGCTCGTACTTCTCGTACTTGGTGTTTATAGGAAAATTAAAGAAATACAGGGTGTTTCAACTAAGAAGCACTATTTGAAAAATCTATAACTTTTTACTAAGTTGACAGATTTTAATAATTTTTGGTATTTTATATCTATAATTCATAAGGTTTTTTTTGATATAAAAATTATGTCGAAATTCGAACCCTAACCCGAGATATTTTTATACTCTACCGTTCTGTTTTTCCCTTTTTCCGCACATGCATTCTTACTCCCTTTTGTTTTTTTTGAGCGGCGATAGACACTAGAGTAAACACTAGGCGATAGACACTACATTTTCAATACAGTATCCACTCTTCGCCATACGCAGGAAAATAAATGAAGTAAGATAGCACACAATGAAAAGAGGGAAAAAAGAGAACGGTAGAGTACGAAATTGAAACGAAATTGAAATACCGGGTTAGGCTTCGAATTTAGGCATAATTTTTACGTCAAAAAAAACCTTATAAATTATGGATATAAAATACCAAAAATCATTAAAATCTGTCAACTTAGTAAAAAGTTATAGATTTTTCAAATAGTGCTTCTTAGTTGAAACACCCTGTATATTTAATTCCTTTCATTTGCCATTATATGAGCGAGTGGCCGAGTGGTGAAGGTGCTTGGCTGCACCATAGTCTTTAATGATTTAATATTGGGTTCGATTCCTATTCAATGAACAATGAATTTTAATATTTTTCTCTTCATAAATAACTCATTTTATAAGTTTAATTTTGTTTTAAAAAGTATTTTAGTTTTACTTGGAAAAATTATGGGTTTTTGGCTCTCTTTTTGGCCTTTTTGGCTATTTTTCTCCTTTTTGGCCCTTTAAAAGTTTCTTTAAAATTTTCATTGTACCTCTAAAAGTGAGTTTTTTTCGCTTACGGCCTTCCGGAATTTTCAAAATTTTCGCCTGCGGCGCTGAAAAAATAATAAAGTTTACTTAATGGCTTCCAAATTCTAAAATTTTCGCCTCCGGCGGTGAAAAATGGAAGAAATCTGGCTTCATGGCCTTCAAAATTTTCCAAAATTTTCTTAAGGACATCCAAAGGAAATCCAAAATTCTCAAAATTTTTGAAAAAAAAACGGATTTGAGATTAAGAAGGATATCAGGAGATTAAAATGTGAAAAGTTCGGTGGAAAAGATAAAAGTTCCATGTAAGAATATGAAAATCAGATGAAAAAATGCCGAGTTTGGGGTAGCCCGACCCATCATGGAGGAAATATCTCTCCTTGCACTCCAAAAAACTCAAAAATTTCGCCTGCGGCGCAGAAAATGTTTGAAATTGGAGGATTTATAGCTTCAAAGCCTTCCAAGATTCAAAAATTATCACATACAACGCTTAAAATTTAAAACTAAATGTTCTGGACTCAAAAAAATCATAAAAATTTTCGATTTTTTTTTCTCAAGTACGAGTAAGTACGAGGTACGAGTACGAGGTACGAGGGCAAAAATAGGGGTGGTACGAGGTACGAGTACGAGTACTAGCAAAAAAATGGGGGTGGTACGAGGTACGAGTACGAGGCCAAAAAAAGGGGTGGTACGAAGTACGAGTACGAGCAAATTTGAAATTTCGAAGCACTGGTCAAGATTCTGTCTCCCTTCATTTTCCTTTCATTCTTTTTCATTAATTGAAAAAATGAGGAGGAACATAAGAAAAAATAGGGCTGTGCCATCGCGCATGGTTTTGTCAAAAAATAGATCGAAAAAATTTGTTTGAAAATATGATTGCGAAAATAATTTTAGCAAGATAGATGTGTGTACTTCCCAAACATTCGGGAAGGGAGTGTTCAGGATCGGGGGTTGTTGAGGAGTGCAGGTCAAGATTCTGTGGGGTTCATGGACAAAGTGCAAACATAGTTCAGCTAAACAATAATAAAAAGGGTACATTTCCGTTATCTCCCCTCATTTTCCTTTCATTCTTTTTCATTTCAAAATGGTCAGTCTCCCGATATACGTAAACGGTACACGTCGGCACTTTAACAGGGGTTTGAAAAATAGAGCGGCATGTCGCTCAATTAGAGGAAATACGGTGTTTACCTATTTTTCGATTTTCAACGTTATTTTTCACTAATTTTTTATGATTTTCAAAAATTTTATCGATTTTGATATCTGTGAAATTTTTTCGATCTCCGAAGATTTCTTTTGTTTCGAAACACCTTATAAAAGAAATTGATCAAAAAGTAAAATTAAATTTTTTCTATTTTTTCCCCTCCATTTTTACACCTTTTCCTCCCTCCTCCTCTTCTTCTCATTTTCTTCCTTACTCATTTTCTTCTTTACCGACCATCACAGCAAACTTGGGTTCCATTCCTTTAAATCTTGCTTGTGCAATTGGTGTCATAAATGGGCCAGGAGGAGGAAGTGGGCTCTGACAAGCAGAGGCAACAGAATCCTTTGTTGTCAATCGGTTGAGGATTCTAAATGGGGATTTTTAGATTTTATAAAATTCAATTAAAAAAATTTTCTCAAATAAAACTAACGTTCTCTCTGTCATGCCTAGTCGTTGAGTTACTGGTCTAAGTCGTGCAAGCGTCATTGGCAGACGAGAAACATCTTTAAAAAAAACTCAAAATTATTTTTAAAGAATATATTTATTTATAAGAGAATACCCCTAAAAATAACAAAAATTCCTTACCATTTTTCATATCATTCAGCAAATCTTCAAGTTGAGCAAGCATTTTATGAAGAACTATATAAGAATTTTTGTCACCCTTATAATCATCACGCCATAATATATCTTGTGCAGTAGCCAAGCATTCAAGATCGTCAAACCTTTCATTTAGATGGCCTAGAATAATTCAATAAAGTTTTAAAGATTAAAAGAATTTCTAAAAATTCAAAAAAAAATTAAAATTTACCAATACTATCAGAAACAGCCTTTCCAATAGCTATTCCCTTTTCTGCTGCATCCTTTTGAATATGTTGTTCTTCAGTTTTTTGGGTTATTTTTAAATATGCTGCACGACGTAATTGTTCCTCTATTATTAAAGCCTGTTCGACTAACTGAAAAATATTTAATTAAAAAAATTTTTTAAGTTTTTAAATTTTCCAAAAAATTGATAAATTTGCCCTTTTTCTCCATGGTCGAAACAGACAAAGTTCGAAGATGCAAATGAAAGCCCATTATTGAGCTCGACAGCTAAGTCCAATGACACCAAAATCACCGTAATTGAACAAATTTGGACGAAGTTATAATACAAAAAACAAATAACGTTACTCTACCCCCATGGTTTTTCAATTTTCAATCGACCATATCATAGTCCCTAGGTACTTGACTAACCTCGCCCATAATTGTCCGAGCTCTTTTGAATGACACCATACATGGCCTGTTCCGACTACGGAGAAAAAAGGGCATATAAGTGGAAAGTGCCAAAAATTTTCGCTAACTTTCTTTGTTTTTAAATTTTCCAAAAAATTAATTTAGAAAAGAAAACTTTCAAAACCTTATAACGTCTTTGCAAAAACTTGTTTTTATATTCGGCAAAATTTCCTTCTTTGCTTTGTTCTGATTTAAAGGGTTTATTAATTATTGAAAATCGATTGTCGTTTTGAATGTCTTGGTAACGACCATAGCCATGCCTAATTAAAAAATTAATTTTTAGAAAAAAAATATGTCCTTACATAACAATCCCACAAAGTAACCAATAATCATGTCGTCGATTCCAAATCTCATATTCTTTTCCAGGAACAGCAACATTTTCTTCATTAAGCCAGAGAGTGTGGAGTTCAGTAAAACCACCATCAGCAATATTAAACATAATTTTTGGACGTGGTTCTCTGGATTTCTGCTCGGTCTGTAAAGAGAATAGTTGAATAAATGGAAAAGATTTTGTTTTGAGGAATTTTTTAAAATTTCAAAAGATAAGACAAATTTTTAAACAATTAAAGAAAACCTCTTCATCAATCTTTTCCTCCTCTTTATCACCATCAGCTTCCTTAGGTGAAGAATCTTCCGCTGTAGTTTGAGTATCTCCTCCAGTAAGTTCAGCTGCTGCATCAATCATTTCAACTTCTTGAGGTTCGGCAGTCTTTTTAAGATCATTCTTAATTGTTTTATTTATATTCAAAATATTGGTAATTCCAAGGCTGGTCCCCCCTTTTTTTCTTGGCAAATTATAAATCTTTCGACTCAGCTCTTCGAGCTGAGTCGAACGGTACTAGACTCATAGAAATCCGACTTAATTAAACATAGTTATGAGCATTTGTTTTAATCCCTTTCAGCATCACAAAAAGCACGTCCATCGAGGATCTAGCTTCATAAATCTGTTCAGATTCGCCAAATCTAACCGATCATAGTATTATTCTTTTGAAAATTATATGCCAAGCAAAAAAGCTCAAAATGGTCAGGGGAACAGAAAATAAGGGGGACCAGCCGTATTACCAAAATATTTTTTTAAAAATACTATAGCTGGAGTCACATCTCGACTAGCATCACTATGCACACTTAATTCTTTCTCCTTGCGTTGTACAGTCAAATGATCTTTGTCTTTTTCCCGTTCTTTATTTGCAGCCTCAGCAGCAGCCAACATTTGGGTTTGCACCTTAAAAATATTTTTTAGAAATTTTTGAAAATTCAAAAAACCTCAGGTATAGACCATTCACCATTAACAGCTTCAAATTCCTGAACCTTTTTGCGTATTAGTGACATGATTCCAATTCGAGTTAGAAGTTGCACACGATTCAAACCTTCACGTGGGACGCCATCATTAAAACACTCCTTAAAACAAAAATATTATGAAATTTCATGGTCAAAAATGGTTTAAACTAGAGGTCGGCGCGGGACGGGATCCCGACGGGAAAAAATCCCGACCCGGGATCCCGGAAGTTCGATTTTGCCGGTCTCTAGTTTAGACATTTCGTCCAAAAACAATCAGTGACTGAACAATTATTCTTTAATTTCTGTTGACTATTTTCAAAAATTAACTAAACACCACCAAAAATATTTTAATTTGATAGTTTGTGGGGAATAGGCAGAAAATCTCCCCTTATTGTTAAATAAATTTTCAAAGTGAAAAAATTTTTCACCTGAGAATCAGCTCCAGGCTCACAAAGATGCCGCATAAACAAAGAAGTATAAGCTTTAAAGGCCCTTTCAGATTTGCCTTTGAGATCTCGAACTAGCCACTGTGATTGATAGGCATCATGAGGCGGCATTCCCCATCGCATTACTGCATTAAAGAAAGCTCTTCGTTGTCTTGGGTTGAAGCCAAGAACTTCCAATTGCCCATTTACACGTGCCAATAAAGGAGGTAATTTTTCACCATCACGTTCACGTTTCCGTCGACGCTCTTCTCTAACAGAATCAAAATCGTCTTCTCCACTTCCGGAACCGTCATGGTCAGAAACACCAGAAAATGAGTCGGAATAGTCTTGATCTCCTCCCGCAGGTGTACCAGCTGACCCTGGCTGCCATTCCTGTTGTATTGCTTCTGTTGCATAATTAACTTGTTTGCGAACTCTTTTTCCTTTTCCGAGATGAGCCCTTTCAAATTCCTGTTCTTGCTCAAAGTGATGTCTTAATAACTTCTCCCAATAGTCTGGATCAGCTTCTTGTAATGCTTCTTTAATTACTTCCGTTTCGTCTTCTTCTATAGGCGCATCTTCCTTTGTAATATATGTTGCTACTTTGAACGAACTCAAATAATCGTTTGCCCAATCTTTTCTTTCGGGTTCATCTGGTGCCGCTGCAGCAGACTCTTTTGTTTCATCTTCTGCTCGTTCAAGAAGTTTATCGACAGCATCATCATCCCAAACAATATTTTGCTCTGTTGATTTGCCTGCTCCATCACCTTGTTGTGCTTCTTCATCTTTAAATAATTCTTCAGTTCCCCAACGAAGAACATCATCCAACTCAGTTTTTGACATTGAAGGGCCTTTTTGACCTATTCCAGCACGAACAACAAGGTGGGTGAGCTAAAGATTATTTTATAAATTTTAAAAAATTAAAAAATTCAAACCATCATTTTCTTTTTTGCAACGGATGTTATACGTTCCTCAACAGAGTTGCGCGTAACAAACCGGTAAATCATTACTTTACGCTGCTGGCCAATTCGATGAGCTCTACTAAATGCCTGAAACATTTACAAGAATGAATTTATTTTAATAATGTAAGGCCAAGTCCATCCTGAAATCACGTGAACAAGAATGGCGTTCTAAACTTTGCGCTAAGTAACGGAAGTTCCCAGAGCGATCCAAAGTATAGCACAAACGGCCATTCTCAAAAAGCAAATAGCTCACTTATTTGATCGCATTAGCCATATTCACACAGCCTTAAGGCGGTTCTAGGAATAAATGTGCAAGCAATAAAAGCTTTGAAAGAATAGGGAAAAAGGTTTAGTCGACTAATCTTCTCTTCATTTATTGCTCAGCATTATTCCACCGGCCGGTGAAGGAAGTATTAAACAACAGCTAGCCTAGTGTCGATCCGGAGGGAAGACGTCTCCCAATCCGGAACTTCCCTATATCCAGCGCTTGCCTACATTCTATACTCTGCGGAGTTCACACAAGGACGCTTGCGAAACTCCATTCTAACAACCCCATTTAGAAGGCACTGAGAAACGGGACCAACCGCTTTACTATAACTAAAAATTAACCTGAATGTCATTGTGCGGATTCCAATCCGAATCATAAATGATCACAGTATCCGCTGTTGCCAAATTAATTCCTAAACCTCCGGCACGTGTTGATAAAAGAAAAACAAATTGTTGTGCCCCAGCAGCATTGAAACGGTCAATAGCATCTTGACGATTTTGTCCCGTAATTGAACCATCAATTCTCTCGTATTTATAACCAAGAAAATCCATCATATCTTCAAGAATGTCCAACTAAATATTTTAAAAATAAATAATATTCAAAAAATGTTTAAAAAAACCATTTTTGTCATTTGAGAAAAGATGAGAACACGATGCCCTTGTTCCTTCAAACGTTTCAACATTTTTTGTAAAAGAACAAATTTTCCACTATTTTTGATGAGTGCTTCTCCTTCATAAGCACCAGTTGGACGTTTAGGTGCCTCTGAAAAAGAATTAAATTTTATTTTAAAAATTATAATAAAAATTCAACCAATTGATGCTTTCGGGAAAAGATATGGATGATTTGCACATTTTTTCAATTCCATCTAAAATGAGAATATTTTTAAAAAGAAAGATTTTTGGGTAATCTTCCACTTTACTGGTCTCTAGAAAAAATGTGGAAAAAGTGCTTTTTCGATATTTTTTAGGTCTGCCAGTAGGTAATCGAGTGTGATGAGTCCGAATATGGACTTAGAATTTGTTTATTGCGAACCCCGGACCCAGATTCGACCAAGTCTAATTCGGGGTATAAATTCGAAACTATTAGGCCATCGCTATTATGACACGTCTCTTCAAGCTGTGTCGAATGATATCAAAATTATTGTGTTTCGACAACTCTGGACGAAGTTATGATCAATTAAATACTCGCTTGGTTAGACTTCCATATATAAATCAGACACCAAACTTATTCTAAAGATGTCGAAAAGTAATAATTTTAATACCAATCGACTAAGCTCGAAAAGACGAGTCAGATTAAACTTAAAATTAGAAATTTCGAATTTTTACCCCATGTTTTTGACATGGTCGAATTCGGGTCCTGGGTTCGAAATAAACAAATTCTAAGCTCAGATTCGGACTCAGCAATCTTGATTAACTACTGGCATGCCTCAAAAATGTCAAACTAGCACTTCTTCCTCATTTTTTTCTAGGGACCGGTAAAGCTGAAGATTACCGATTTTTGTTGGGTTTTATTTTTAAAAACCTCTCATTGTAATTATAAAGTTTGCAATTAACTCATGATAAAATGAGAAATTAAACTTACAATAATATTCAAAAGTGACATTTGTGAACGTCCATTTTTAATGCTGAGGGCCTCAAAATTCTTTGTAAGAATGTGACGATAATATTTTCTAATAAAAAAATAAAATATAAAATAATCAAAAAAAATTATCACTTTTGTAAAGGACTTAATTCAACACGAACAATTAATTCGCTCTTTGAAGGCATTCCAGTAAGGACATCAGCTTTGAGACGTCGTAACATATGTGGACCGAGAAGTTGATGTAAACGTTGAATTTGGTCTTCTTTTGAAATTTCGGCAAATTCGTGAGTAAAGGATTCCAAATCACTAAATTTTAAAGAATAATCGTACAAAAATTACTATTTTAAGTTAAAACTAGGGTTTGACCCGTAGGAAAAAGAATTTTGATATTTTATCGTTTTTCTTTCAAAAATAATAAAAGCAAAGTAAATTGGGAGGAAATTTTTAAAATTTTTCCTTTAAAATTCTCGCAAAAATGGCATTTTTGGGTATATAACACCCCGAAACTTTTCGGGTCGGGGAACTGGGTTTTTACTTTTTTTCGGGGCGGGAAGAATCGTGAAAAAACCGTTCGGGAACGGGATTCGGGGTCAAACTCTAGTTAAAACTAATGATTAGATTTGGAATAAAGTTTAACAAACAAAAACCAAACTATAAATTACTCAGTCAAGAAAAATTAATTTAAAAAGTAAACTGACTAAAATCGATCAGGACTCAAAAAATTTAATAAATGGAACAATTCTTCCAAATTGTTTTGAAGAGGAGTTCCAGTAAGCAAAAGACGATATCCAATATTAAAATCTCGAAGTGTTCTAAAGGATAACGATTGATTGTTTTTGAGACGATGGGCTTCGTCTACAACAAGAACAGCCCAATCAATACTGGAGAGTATTGCTTTGTCAATATTTATTAACTAAAAAATTTGGAAAAATAAAAATATTTTTAAAAAATTAAAAAAAAACCTCATAAGAAGTCAATAAAACATGAAATTTAATGCCTTGATCTGTCCTCATTCTTCCAGCTTTTGTTCCTCCTCTTGTGGCCCCCTCAACAAAAGAAAATTCATGCTCCCTAAAAAAAAAGAGTTTTATTTTTTTAAATTTAAATTCAAAAAAACCTTATAACAGTTCGACTGTCCTTGTCTCCAATATAAGTAACAACATAAAGATCGGGAGACCAAAATTCAGCTTCACGTTCCCAATTGATTAATGTAGAGAGCGGAGCTGATACAAGAAAGGGACCTTTGCTATGTCCTTCTTTGACAAGAGAATAGAGAAAAACCATTGACTGAAATTTTTTAAATAAATTTTTAAAATTATCGAAAAATAGCCAAATTAAAAAAATAAAACAAAGCATCCAAAGATCATAATTTAAATTAGAGGTCGGCGCGGAACAGGGTCCCGCTCCCGCACTTTTTTCGATTTGCGGGATTTATCCCGCGGGATCCCGTCCCGCAAAGATTTTAAAAAAATTTTATCCCGCGGGATCCCGTAAAACTCCTTTTGCATACCTCTAGTTTTAATTTAAAAAAACCTGAATTGTTTTTCCCAACCCCATTTCATCAGCCAAAATTGCATCTATTCCATTTGACCAACAATGACGAAGCCAATTAATTCCTTCCATTTGATAAGCATGAAGATTGCCTCCTGTTTCGTTTACATATTCTGGCTGAGCTTCGTATTTCTTTTTTATCTTAATAGATTTCTTTATTAAATTTAACCCAAAATATTTTAAGATTTTCTTATAGGGGACCAAATTCAAAATAAATTACTTACATCAGTGCTTGGTTTATTTTCACGCTTTTTACGCTTCTTCTCTTCATCTTCAAATGGAGGCAATCCTTGTTCAGCCCTTCTTTTATTTAATCTCTTTAATATATATTTAGGCATTGTTTCACCACTCATTCGTTCACTTTAAAAAAATTATTTAAATTCTTAAAAATTAAATAAATTTACCGATGCACCCAATAACGAAATATTGCATCTTCATAACCAGGAATATCAAAATCATCACGTTCCCAAGTTGCTTGATCATATACTAATTCACGCCATTTAACCAAATAGTCATATTGATTCTTCTCATAAGCCATATGGTTAATTATACGATGAACCTTAAAAAAATTTTTTTAGAAAAAATTTTTTAGATGATGGAGCTATGTTTGTTTTTAAGTATAAATTATCAAGCAATTATTATCCGAATAACAAAGGTGCAAGCCCGTCTAATTAAACATCCATTTAATATTTAATAAAGGTCATCTAAATTTCCAGCTGTTTTTTGATAAAATAATAAAAGATAGACAAATCACCAGAATTTTGAAAAAGCAAAATAATAAAAAAAAACTAAAACGGGACTGGGCCATTAGTGCGCGAGCTTATAAAACATTGAGTTCTTATCAAAAAAGATAAAATTTTGCAATAATAACTCTCATGCCTTTATCTACGTGATCCAAAAATTTCAGAATTTTTGATCAAAAATTTCGGAAGTTGTGGCCAAAATTGTTGATTTTCCGAAAAAACCCTAATTTTTCGCGGTTTATCGACTATAACTTCAGAAATAGTCGATGAAAAATTTTGAAATTTCTGGAGGAGGTAGTTAAGAATGTTAAAGAAATTTGAGAAAATTTTCATAAATTTCGGTTTCGCCTAAGTGTCAGTTTTTAGCGCTGGCGTCCTAATGGCCTCGCGCCCTTATGATCCCAACCCAACTAAAACAGCTTTGCTCATATTTTAGCAAAAAACTTTAAAAATCAAATGATTAACCTGCATCCATTCAGGTTTGATTCCATAACGATAAAATTTCTGTTCCATATTATGCGGATCATCTTCCTGAACATATTTAGAAATTAAACATCCAAAGTTTAAATTCAAAAAAACCTTTTCTTTATCATCAATTCTACCAGTTCGCATATCTTCAGTAGAGCCATCATCAACTTCTGGAGGAACTTCAGGATCCATCTTTCGCCAATACATACGTAGTGTTTGGGTGAAATGGAGTTCCAAAACTAATTCTTGAATCCATTCACAATGCCTAAAAAATAAATTTTTGAATAAGAAAATCCAGAAAACAATTGTCCATAAAATCAGGGTTTGCCATGAATGCAGTTTGGTATAAATGTCAAAAATGGGATGGGCCAAGAAGTTGTTTTAGACAACCAGAATGTAAAAAATGGTACTTGGCTAGGGTTAACGGGGTACGGAGTTGCTACAAGAAGAAAAACGACGTGTAGTCGTAAGCTTTCTGGTGCTCACAATCAAAGGGTAGAAACCCAATCCTTACCCAGAATCACCATTTTACAAATAATTTAAAATATCAAAATACCAGTAGCTCATATATTTCCATTTGACGAAAAATTCGCGCTCTCGACGAGGCTTCATCTCTTTTTGAGGTCTTAAGAAACTAATCTTTCGTCGTTCAGGATCGTCAATATTCACAGCATTTTCTCCTTCTTTAAGGCGATATTCTTCGGGTAAAGGTTCTGGGTAGGCATATTCAATCCAACGCCAACTCAGCAATTTTTCAGGACGATTTTTTGGTTCAACACACTGAAATAATGAAATATAAGTTTTCAATTAGAGGTATTAGTCTATTTCATCATAAAAACAGCCTAATCAACGACTAATACTAAAATATAAATCGTGAGAAAAATCAAAACCTGGCAACGTGGACATATCCAATCTTCATGCTCATTTGGCAATTCTTTTAGTGGAGGTGACAAACAATAAGCATGGTATGAGCTCGGGCAGCGCTCACAAGTCAACAGAAAATCGCGTTCCTAAATATTTAAAGTCAAATAAAGTTTAAAAATCCAAAAAAAACTCACAGAACAAACTCTACAAGTATCCATATTTCCTGGAGTCGCATCTGCTGCTGCCTCATCTCTTGAAGGAGGCCCGTTTTGCTCGCAATGTGGACAAGACCAGAATCCTTCTGGGGGTTCTTCCAAGTCTTGATCATAACACACCAAGTGGTAAGCACGTGGGCAAGTGTCACAAAGGATTATTTCACCTCCTTGTTGACATACTTCACAATAATCTTGGTGTTCTTGCTGAAGATTCATTTTTTATTAAAAAATTCTAAAATTAAACATCTATATGAAATGAGCAACGGGATCGCATTTTCCCTTAATTCCTCGAATGGTCATTTTTCCTTAATTCGTAATGTCTGATTCTGATTTTTACCGAAAGGCTGAGGAAAAGAGAATGGGGTGTACCTATTGTAATGAGTCCGCAAAAAGGGGTAGGGAAAACAGAAAAGCACCAAAGATACTTATGCCAATTTAGTTGAAATAAACAGAGGAGACTTCAAAAATAAGATTTGACTAAATCTGCAACGAAATGGAAAAATCAATCCATTTTCGGCGCGCCGAAATTTGCGGATTTTAATTTGCGGACCCGAAATTTGCGGACACGAACTTTGCGGACCCGAATTTTGCGGACCCGAACTATGCGGACCCGAATTTTGCGGATCTGAGATTTGCGGACCAAAAATTTGCGGACCGACAATAGAGTCTACTGAACCACGGAAATTTTAAAAATTTTAGCCTGTGGCGTTAATTAAAATGAATTAGGCATCATGACCTTATGAGATGGCTATATGAATGATTTTTTCAAGGAATTTTCTCGATTATTTAAATTATGAAATAATTTTAAGATAAGAAATTGATAAAAATTTTGAAAAATCAAGAAAAAATCATGAATCCGGTACGGATCATAGTAAATTCTGCCGGAATCATCGAAAAGTAAAATTTTTAATTTTTCAATTTTACTCAAGTGTCGGTCCTAAAATCTTGGTTCCGCAAAAATCAGGTCCGCAAATTTCGTGTCCGCAACCTTCGGGTCCGCAACTTTCGTTCCGCAAATTTCGGGTCCGCAAAGTTCGGGTCCGCAAAATTCGGGTCCGCAAAGTTCGCGCCACGCCATTTTCACTAGTTCTCATTACGGCAAACATCAAATACTCAAGGAAAATGGCCATTCCAAGCCGGTCCAATGAAGTAAGGAAAAATATGGTCCCGTCACGCATTTCATTTAGAGTCAAAAAACCTGTGGATTATCTCCATCTTCCCCTCCTTCGCCTTCCTCCTTTCGCCGTTTAACCTTTTGTTTTGATTCTTTAGCCTTCCTGGCTGCAGCACGTTCTTTTTTGCGTTCCTCCTTTGCTCGTTCCTCCTCATCCAATTGCCGTTCATGTTCTTTTAGAAGAGATTCAAATTCTTGATCAGAGTTAACTGAAAATTTAAAAATGTAAAAACATTTCTAAAAATCAAAGTCACTTACGTTCTTCTTCAGAATCGTCATTTCTTCTCTTCTTCCTTGTTGAAAGCCTAATTTTTAGGGGAGCAACCTTCTCAACTTTATCAAATTGTCCAGAAGAACCAGCACCAGATGACGTTAGTTGTAAATCTTTTGAAGCTGGTGGATTTGAAGTAGATCCAGCAATTCGGCCGACTTTCTTACTAGCTAATTGTTTGCCACGTCCAGTAAGCATATTCTGGAAATTTAAATATAATTTAGGTAAAGGACAAGGGCATGGCCAGAGGGGGGGGGGCTTCTGGGATTGGGGAAAATAAAAAAATTTAGGAGGGGAATGATCAGAAAAGTGAATTTTTTACGCCTACAACCCACAAAATCCTCAAAATTTTCGCCTGCGGCGCTGAAAAAATAAAAATAATTATACAATAAAATTTGCCTTCACACCCTATTATAGCCTCCCTTGAAATCGACCCCCTGGCTACGACCTTGGTACAGGATTTAATAATTTCTGAATTTTATAGTTCAACAAGTTTTAATCTTATTCATTAACTAGAACACTCGGTTACACATTAAGGTCATTTTGGTAAAATTTTCTTGCATGAGAAACCGGGAAGAACTGATTCGAAAACAAGTCACCAAAAAATAAAAAAATTTTTTAGCTCTATCCGAAAGAAGTGCCGGGATCATATTTTCAAATATTTCCTAGGAATGATTATTTTTTGTTAGTTTGTAGCAGGGATCGCGTCGACAGAAAATCAAATTCCCGATTTTCGGAAATCGTGAATCGGGTCGGCGCGATCCCTGGTTTGTAGTCTGTTGATTTTTGCAAAAGGAAAAAGTGAATTGATCCTTCTGAGCCATTCTGACAAGTTAAAAAAATTAGATCCCGGCATCCTTTCAGATAGAGCCAAATTTTTTCAAATTAATCAAAAATAATTAACCTGGTACTCGTTGTATTTAGCCACCAATACAGCATTAATACGTGCCCAACTTGCTGTTGGATTCATATCTTGGAATTGTTGTCGAAAGCGAGCATTGAAGGACTGAAAATCAAAAATTATTTAAAATTCAAAATTCCTTAAAAAACCTTTCCAGACGAAATACTTTCAAAGTCCTCCTCATTATATTCAAATTGAACATCAATTAGCCCAAGCATTTGGCATAAATCGGCGCTGCTGTTTGCATGAGGGTCTGGAACTTGTTCACGGTTAGGCCCCAAATTTTTCTTTTTGGTTTTCCGTCCTCTCTTTTTGTGGCCTTTCTTCGAATGATGATGTGAAGAAGAGGAGGCAAACTCTTTAAAAACAATTTTTTTAATTTTAAATCAACCAAAAAATATTTTTAAAAAATTACCAGCTTCTCCAAAAGCAGATTCCCCCATTCCTTCCATTCCATAATTTCCCCCTTCAAAGCCTTCCTCCTCTTGGCTGTAGTGTAGTGTACCGGTGGTAAAAGTTCGGAACGTGACATATGTCATTCGATTCGTCTCGACGAGCTGAGTCGAATGGTACTACTCCCTACTTTAGGAAATGATTCTGGACCGAGTTATGGGTCCCGAAAAACTGAAAAACCAAAGGGGGGAGTAAGCTCGATTTTGGGGTGAAAAATTCGAATATGCAAATAATAGCTCATTCGAAAGAGCTCGGCGAGCTGAGTCGAATGACACCAAAATCAACGAAATCTGACTTGATTTGACAAAGTTATGACCGTTTGTTTTAGCTCCTTACCTATGGCGCCCGTGGAGGTTTTTGCTGCTACTGGAGCCCCAAATACATCCAGAGCAAGGGAGATGGGACTAGGTTTATGTTACTGACCCAGACCCAGCGCCCGTAGACTCCCCGCGAGGCGCGTGCCGCAAAACCCCGCGCGAAGCGCGGGGTTTTGCACAAGCGCCTCGCTGACGCCCCATAGGTTTAGGTTTTAGTTTTTCTATCGTAACTTTGTCCAAACTTTTACAATCAAGCTGATTTTGGTGTCATTCGACTCAGCTCGACGAGCTCTTTCGAATGAGGTATAATTTGCATATTCGAATTTTTCACCCCAAAAAAGTGCTTGGTCCCCCCTATGGTTTTTCAATTTTTCGGGACCTATAACTCGGCCCAGAATCATTTCCTAAAATTAAGAGTGGTACCGTTCGACTCAGCTCGTCGAGACGAATCGAATGACATATGTAATGTCCCGAACTTTTACCACCGGTACACTACACTATATCCCTCCTCTTCGTCTTCCTCCTCTTCTTGCATAGAATCAACTTGTTCCTGTGCTTCGTCTACAATTTGTTGTCCTGTTGTATCCAAATGGTCGTCGTCGGAAGACATTTTTTAAATTTTAATTGGAATGAATTAAAGAATATAATTCTAAAAATAATTAAAAATATTTATGTATCAGGGATCCTGCCGTCCCGATTCCCAAAAATCGGGAATTCCCGACGATTTTTTGGGGTGGGATCTCGATTTCCCGAAATCGGGAATTTGTCGGCAGGATCCCTATAGTTGTACATATAATTTTTTGAAATTCGTTCTCGTCCAATACAGACACATATAAATCTAAGTTTTTTCAAGAATTTCCCATAATGTTTTGCTCCTTCATTTTTTGCCCCCAAATTTAGGAAAGTCCAACCTTTTTAAAAAATTTTTTTTAAAATTTTTACATGTAATATCGAAACTTTAGGCCCAAAAATTATTAAAAATGTTAAAAATTGTTTTTGGAAAGTTCTTTAAAGATTTATATGAAAGTCGCGTTTTGAATGTGAAATGAGCGTGGACGCCATTTTTTTCTACACACAAATATACAAATGAATAAGTATGAGTGAGTGTATATTGAAGCTTAAAAGAAATTTTAATCAATAATCCATATTTGTTTTGTTTCTAGTAGACTCTAATGAACTATTTATTGACCTTCTCCCATTACTTTTGAAAATACGGTATTGCAGTACTTTAAGTACTGTATTGACTACTCAATTAAAGGGGTACAGCCCAACTAGTCGCCAAGCTTTTATTAAATATTCTGTAAAATACTATCTGATCAATTCTTTTTAAAATGTTAATGTCTCATAACGGGTTCAATTATGTTAAAGGATAAAGGAAGTGTCCTCGCCATGAACCTCGCCTATGGAATAGGCCAAATACCTAAGGATTGACTTTTTAGCAGAAATAGAGGAAATTTGGCCTATGTTCCATCAAAAAATTCTAAAATTTTGCCTGCAGCGTTAAAAAAAAGAAGAATTTAGGCTTACTGGCCTTCTAAATTTAAAAGTTTCGCCTGCGGCGCTGAAATGATAAATTATTATTAATGTTTTCTGAAAATTGTTCCGAAATTTATTTTTACCGGACTAAAACCGTACCGGATTGATCCGGAAAAATCCGGCCGGATCTGGTCCGGCATGAGTTTGAAATTCAAAATCCGGTTTCCGGGCCTGGAAAAATAATTTTGCCGGTCACTAATCAGAAATTTTAATTTAAAAGCTTGGCGACTAATCGGCCGGCGACTAGTCGGTCGCGACTAGTCGGGCGTGTCCCCAATTAAAGCTAAATCACTAGGGCTAAGATTTTTATATTTAAATAAATCACTGAGGCGGCCCTGCCCGCGAACTGACCAGTGTCCCCCCATTTTTTTATTACAACTATCACTGGTCATTTATGTTTTTCTTTAATAATTACTTAAAATTCTGATTTTTAAATTTTGATTTATGTCCTTTCGCAACAAAACAAAATATTTATAGGTAAATGTGTATATTAGAGTGATTAAAAGTCTTTATTATTTTTAGTCCTTAAATGGAGGTTTTAAAAGGAATTTGGTTTAAAAAAGTAGGAGAGGAATATTGAGGGAAAATAAAATAATATTAAATTGTAATTTTAAATTGCTGTTTTTACTAGTTTTTATTTTAAAATAATTATGAAGAGGAAGGAAATGTTTTACAAACATTTGTAAAATAGAAACAATGTTGGAATAAAGTTGGAAACAAAGTTGTAACAAGGGAAGGAAAACAGCTGGGAAAAAGGTGGGAAGTTGGAAGGCTGGAAAAAGTTGTAAAAACAAAGTCGCAAAACATTGAAATAAGACTGGAAAGAAGTTCAAAACAAGGAAAATATACAAACATGTTTTACAAACAAGTTTAAAAAAATAATAAAAACTTGTTTCAAACAAGTTCTGCGACTAGAAAGGCAGGAAAAATCTCAAAAACATGTTGTACAAAACATTATTAATGTTTTTATGATTTCGAACTTGTTTTTAAGGTGTTTTAATCCTTTTTAATTAATAAACTTAAGAACTTAAAACAATATTTTTGCTTATATTTATGCTCAACTTAATGTTTTAAATATTCTGATATGTTTATATTTATGTTTTGATTATATTCAAGTTGTATAAATATTAAAAAACAAAAGCTTCTAACAAAATTTGAATTTGAATAGGCTCTGATCGTTATTTTATTTTTTATAAGGTAAAACAAAGGTTATGTGTGTGCAAATTGCTGGCTAATATTTTAAGAAGAAAAAAGTGAAAGAAAAATTTTTTTTATATTCTTTACTTGCTTTACTTTCTTTATATTCTTTACTTTAATCGAATGGTATGGGTCTTATATCGAATAAGGTTGGCGGATCCGGATATCCGGATCCGAAAAAAGGCCGGATATCCGGAAATTTTCGGTTCGGATATCCGGATCCGAAAAAAGGCCGGATATCCGGAAATTTTCGGTTCGGATCCTAGAATTAGGGAAAAAGGAAGAAATCTTGCCCAATGGCCTTCCAAATTTCTCAAAATTTTCGCCTGCGGCGCTGGAAAAGGAACATCTGGTAGTCTAATCTTCCAAAATTCCCAAGAGTTTCGCCTGCGGCGCTGAAAATGGAAGAAATTTGGCTTCAGTTGCTTCCAAAATTTCAAAAAAATTTCGCCTGCGGCGCTAAAAAGTGAATTTTTTGGCCTACTACCTTCCAAAATTACCAAAATTTTCGCCTGCGGCGCTGTCAGTGGAAGAACTCTGACTTAAGGACCTCCATGTTTCTCAAAATTTTCGCCTGCGGCGCTTAAAAAGGAAGAAAAGGGGTTTGTTTATACGATAACTGAGGATTTACCTCAAAATATCTCATTATTCTCTTAATCCCACGATCCCAGCTATCAATTTACCAAATTCAAAGATATAGAAATAGCCGATGTATCTACTAGTTAGTATGTTAGTTACTTGGGGGGGGGGGGGGTGTATATGTGGATATGGATTCGGGATTCGAATGGATGTGTGTGTGGATATTAATTAGTGGATGTGCGAGTGTGGGCTTCCAGAGGTCCTACCCGTTACTAAACCAATTCACCTAAATGGATTAAGATAGATTGAGGAAGTGAAACTGATAATTGTGAATCATAGGATTGAATAGAATTGATAGGATTTGCGCGAGGACGAAGTAAGCACTTGTAATATGGATAAAGTGAAGGAACTGGATATTGGACAATGAATAGAGTAAATTGTTATGAAGGATATTGGATTGGACTAAGTGAAGTAACTGGACTGGAAAGAGATAAACTGAGATTGGACTGGACTGAGGATAAGCTGATTATAGGAGGGAATGACATTTTTATAAATTGGGAAAAGGGGAGTGGGAAATGGAATAAGCATTAATCTACAAGTTGGATTAATGGAGATTGTAAACATGATAAGTTGGGAAAGTGGTCGGGAATAATGTGAAATAATAGGAATTCGTATTAATGAATAATGGGAAGTGTTTGGGAGTAAGTGGAAAGAATACGAATTCACGTGAACGACTAATGGAAAGACTGAGAAGGAAAAGTTGTAAATAACAACTTAGCTGGATTGAGCGGAAGTGTGGTGGCAAAGTCCAAAGAGAGAAAGTTATTAATTTGTAAATGGGAATAGGAATGGGAATTAGAGTCTGTGATTTGAGTCTGGTATTTAATTGTTTTAGGTCCGGTTCCGGGATACGGGGTTACACCTCCCTTGCCCACCTGGTCGCGTCCCTGCGACCAAATTTTGATCGTGGGGATGCTTTCTTGTGGATTGGAATTCCTATTGTTGAGTTGTGATATCGCAAGGTGGCCACATTTGTGTCACACCTGGAGTTATTAAATGTTTTGGAGATTGGGAAGGATTCCTAAGGCGAGAGGGATTCCTGGGGCGGGCTCTTAATTTTAATGGTCTTGGATTGAATGGCATGGGATTTTAGATTGAATGGCATGGGATTTTTTCAATGTGGGTAGTAATATGAAAGGAGAGATGTGATATGTAAAAGAGATGTGGACAATCATAATATTTTTAACGTGATTATTGTTGTTTGGATAAAATTAGTTTTTGATTGAATGAAAAATTGAGTTGTTTAAAGTGCAATAAGGACATTTTCGTATATAATGCAATATTGAGGATATCTTAATTTGTTTTAGTTTTGAGTATTGATCGGTAAAATTTTAATATAAAAGTGATATAGTTTTAATATAAAAGTGATATGTTTTAATATAAAAGTGATATAGTTTGTGGCTGTGAGAAAGGGTTATAACAGATAAATGATAAAATGCAGTTTTGGTAAATAATAAAAAAGTATGAGGGGAATAAATTAAAGTGTTTTAGTATTACATAGCTGGGTCTTAATATATTTATGTGTCTTCAATTGTTATTTGGATGCTAGGAAGGATTTGTGGATTTTATAAAGCATACTAGGAGGGGATTTGAAGTAAAATATGGGAGGTATTTTAAAATTTCAGTTAAAATTTTCATGTATTGATAGTCCAAGGTTATAAGTGGCAGATAATACTATTAGAGATGGAATTTTATTTGGGGATAACAAGTTTTATTCGGGTTCAATTTCAGGGGCGGTTTCATATAAAAAGTCATGAATGGTTAAGGTGAGGGATAAGGAGTTAGGACATATATGAACAATCTAAAAGAGTTATGATTCCGGATTTAATAACAACTGAGTCTCTTTTTTTTTTAATTGCGCTTTCAGGAGTGAATGGGAACAAAAATTTAAAAAGAATTTAAAACAAAGATTAATGGGAAAAAATTTTTTGGGAAAAATTTTATGGAACTAATTTAAAATTTAATGGAACAAGAAAAACTTAAAACATTCTTTTCATGAGTTTTCTTGGGGTGGGGGTGAATTTTGCGATGCATGTATGACATTGGCTTAATTAATGGAAGGATTGAGGGAGTATGCAAGATGGAAAATATATTGTTCTTATTTAAAGTTGTTTAGAAATAACCAGCCTTTTCTGCAGATTGAAATTAATCGGGTTTGGGAATACTAGGGGTACAATTTGATTGATTTATGATTTGGGAACTAAAATAAATTGGGGCCAGTGATACAATATATTTGGAGGTTTGGAGTACATGTTTTTGGTTATCTGTCGGGATTGATTCCTAGAAAGCGTAATTCTCAAAGGGGTCAGATTTTAAATGGGTGATTAAATGAAGAATTGTTTGAGTTGGCGTTACTTGACTGGAGGGTGAGGTGACTAGATAAATATTGAATGGGAAATTAAAAACAGATGAGAGAAAGGAAATTGAATTTAAATTAGGTGACTTCGATATGTGTTATTAAATATATTTGAAGTAGGTGGATACACGAGACGGCCACTTGAAGTGTCACGTCCGGCTTTATTAATTGTGTAGGTTGATGGAGTTGGTGAGATATTGATTTGAACATCAGTACGGGTGGAAAAAGAGGGGATGAGACATTTCCTAAGGGAACATAAGACCCAATTTTGTCCTTAATCTTATCTACAAATTTTACAAGGCGAAAAATTAAATGATAAAGAAAAAGTGATTATAATATTAAATGTAAAAATGAATTTCTCGCCAGGGTCCTTGCGGCCACCTGGGGTGTTATTAAATTTGAGAAAAAGATTTGTATGTTTTTAAATGTTTGGGTCGGAGGGTTATTAGTTGGGATGTGATTTTTGACGGATTAGTAGTTATCTATTGTTAATTAAAAAGCTGTAAGCGGAAGTTAGTAGTGGATGTGACAAAATTGCAATTATTAATATTGAGCGTGCAATGTAAGGATGTTAGTGGTTAGTTGTTTATTAAGCTGTTTGTTAGTAGTGTTATGTGAAGCTTTGTTGGTGGTGTTATGTTAAGTTGTTAGTAGTGTTATGTGAAGTTAGTGTAATTTTGTGAAAAACAAGAATTTTAATGGACTCTGAAAGTGGAAAATAGTTTTGTGGATTTTGGACTTTGATATATGCAATGGGGTATTTCGAGTCTAGACGTCTAGATTGGGATATGATTATTATTGTATTTATTGTTTTTGGATTTGTTGTTTTTAATATTGAGCGCTTGGATTAGGATAAGATTTATTGAGTGATGAGCGCTTTGATTAATTTAGGATTTTATTTAATGAGCGCGAATTGGATTTGGATTTGATTGGTTTTTTTTTGATTGCTAAATGGATTTGATGATTTATTGAGCGCGGAATGGATTGGATTTGAATGATCTATTGAGCGCTTATTAATTTGGATTAGATTTAATTTATTGAGCACGAATTTGATTGCGATTGATTATTTGATTATGAGCGCTTGGATTTAGATTTGATTCATTGAGCGCGGATAAGATTTGTTTGTTGATTATTGAGCGCTTGGACTATGATATGTTTATTGATTATGAGCGCGGATTATTTTTTTATTATTGAGCGCTTGGATTAGGATTTGACTAATTGAGTTATGAGCGCTTTGATTGATTTATTTAGGATTTGATTTATTGAGCGCGGACTGGATTTGTTGATTAATGGATTTGGATTTGCTTGATTTATTGAGCGCTTATGGATTTGGATTATATTTAATTTATTGAGCGCGAATTGGATTTGGATTTGTTTGATTTATGAGCGCGGATTGGATTATGTTTGGTTTATTGAGCGCTTGTGGATTTAAATTTTATATATTTATGAGCGCGGATTGGATTATGTTTGATTTATTGAGCGCGAATTTGATTTGAATAAGATGATTTATTGAGCGCTGAATGGATTTGATTGATTGAGCGCGGACTGGACTTGATTAATTGAATTTGATTGATTGAGCGCTGAATGAATGTTTAATTGGATTTGATTAATTGAGCGCTGATTGGATTTGATTAATTGGATTTGATTGATTGAGCGCGGATTGGATTTAATTAATTGGATTTGATTGATTGAGCGCGAAATGATTTGATTAATTGGATTTTATTGATTGAGCGCGGAATGGTTGGATTTGATTGACTGAGCGCTGAATAGATTTGATTAATTAGATTTGATTGATAGAGCGCGAAATGGATTAGATTAATTTGATTTGATTGAGCGCTAACGGATTTGATTAAATAATTTGATGATTGAGCGCTAATGGATTTGACCAATTCATCTGTGATTAATAAAATATATTTGTTTAAGTAAACTTATCTCATCCAATGGTAAATGTAATTTATATTTAAAATAATTTTCAGTAATTCAGTAGCACAGGTTAATAACTTCCATCCAAAGTTCCAATTTCCATTTAATTAGAGAATTCCATTTATTCAAGTTAAGTAAAATTTTTAATTGAAGTAAAAATTTATTTAAAATTAATATTTTGACATTTAAAAACATATATGAATTAATATATTGGGAGCCCGGCCGGGACTTTCGCGAGAGAATGAAAAAGGAAGAATGATAATTAGTGATTGTTGAAATTATTTATGATTTATTGAGCTCGATATCGATTTGATTTAATTGGTTTAATGAGCGCGAATTGAATTTAATTATTTTATTGACCTCGATATGGATTTTATTGAATTAATGAGCGCGAATTGGATTTGATTTGTTTGTTGAACTTAATATGGATGTGATTTGTTTAGTTAATGAGCGCGAGTTGGATTTGGATTTGATTTTTTTTTTTTGAACTCGATATGGATTTGATTGATTATATGAGCGCGAAAGGATTTGGATTTGATGTATTTATTGAGCTCGATATAGATTTCAATTTATTGAATTAATGAGCGCGAATGGATTTTGATTTGATTTATTTATGATTATGAGCGCTTAGATTAGGAAGGATTTATAAATAATGAGCGTCTGATTGGATTAGGATTTGATTTACTGAGCGCGAATGTATTTGGATTTGTTGATTTATTGAGCGCTATGGATTTGGATTTGATTGATTGAGATTTAATGGATTTGATGAATTTGATTGAACTCTAAATGGATTTGGATTTAGTTGTTTATTTATGAATGATAAATGGATTTAAAGATTAAGTATAATTTGAATGTGTCAGGAATAATGCGTATTGAATATGTATGGATTTAAATGTGGTTTTAATGGATTTAATAATTAATGAACGCGAATTCGTTATTGGTTTGATATGGGATAAATGTTTATAAAATTTATTTAAAACGAGGGGAGAAGAAATTTTACAATTAGTGTGCACACTCTGGGGTATTAAAAATAATGTGATTTGGGGACAGAGAAAAAAATAAATGTATTTATATATTAAAAATTATTCTGATTGGTGAATTGGGCAGGGGTAGTGGATCGACTTAGGTGCTACCAGTTAGTATGTTAGTTACTTGGGGGGGGGGGGTGTATATGTGGATATGGATTCGGGATTCGAATGGATGTGTGTGTGGATATTAATTAGTGGATGTGCGAGTGTGGGCTTCCAGAGGTCCTACCCGTTACTAAACCAATTCACCTAAATGGATTAAGATAGATTGAGGAAGTGAAACTGATAATTGTGAATCATAGGATTGAATAGAATTGATAGGATTTGCGCGAGGACGAAGTAAGCACTTGTAATATGGATAAAGTGAAGGAACTGGATATTGGACAATGAATAGAGTAAATTGTTATGAAGGATATTGGATTGGACTAAGTGAAGTAACTGGACTGGAAAGAGATAAACTGAGATTGGACTGGACTGAGGATAAGCTGATTATAGGAGGGAATGACATTTTTATAAATTGGGAAAAGGGGAGTGGGAAATGGAATAAGCATTAATCTACAAGTTGGATTAATGGAGATTGTAAACATGATAAGTTGGGAAAGTGGTCGGGAATAATGTGAAATAATAGGAATTCGTATTAATGAATAATGGGAAGTGTTTGGGAGTAAGTGGAAAGAATACGAATTCACGTGAACGACTAATGGAAAGACTGAGAAGGAAAAGTTGTAAATAACAACTTAGCTGGATTGAGCGGAAGTGTGGTGGCAAAGTCCAAAGAGAGAAAGTTATTAATTTGTAAATGGGAATAGGAATGGGAATTAGAGTCTGTGATTTGAGTCTGGTATTTAATTGTTTTAGGTCCGGTTCCGGGATACGGGGTTACAT